TTGATCGGACTTCACATGTTCTTAATGCAGCAACTACAAATCTAACGTACGGCAGCAATGCCATGGGAGCAGCTTCAGCATACATATCATCTACCAAACATATCTAAGATACATGTTAATGGGGATTTTTCTTTTTTTATTAGCCGCGGTATCGCAGGGGTCGGGGTGGGCAGACGGACGAACCAAACTAAATATCGCAGGGGTCGATGCATGATTATTGTTTCCCTCCATGCATGTGGCCTCAGGTGATCGATTTGTTTTCTTCAAAGCAGGCGGGAATCCTTTGAAGAACATCAACGTACCTCCCTTCTAGAGCAGCATGATTTCGATGCATGATTATTGTTTCCTTCCATGCATATGGCATCAGGTGATCGATTTGTTTCCTTCAAAGCAGGCGGGGATCCTTTAAAGAACATCAACGTACCTCCCTTACAGAGCAGCATGATTTTGATGCATGATTATTGTTTTCTTCTATGCATGTGGCCTCAGGTGATCGATTTGTTTCCTTCAAAGCAGGCGAGTATCGCAGGAGTGGGCAGACGGACGAAAATAAAAGTTGTAGATAGTGATGTGTTCAACAACTTTTATATTCATCACCTTTACAGCTGAAATCATTTAGTGATTGAAAATCAGGTTTTAAGTTGTCATTTTCTAAAATTCAAAATTTGAATTGTCTAAAATTAGTGACAAAGATAGAGGACCAGACTATAAAGATAGAGCATGATTTTAGAAAATTTTAGAAAAAAAACCATCACATTTGGAGTTAGTATGAGGGAGAAAAATTAGTTACAAGTTTCAGTCAAGTCCGTCTGCCCACGCCTGCGATCCCACGACATCTCATTGATTGAATATTGTCTGTCATGTGATAGAGGAATCACGACAAAATAGGAAGAAGAAAATTATTGTGCTATCCATATGCACATTGCATATTTACTTGCACCTGCACACATGGCGACGAGCAAAAGAAAAGAGAATTAACACACAAGAAAAGAGAATTAAGACAAAAGAAATATATTTGCATTTATGAGAACTTTACCAAATCTACCTATATTTAATTATTTTCCCTCTTTGCATTTGTAAAAGGGACAATTTTTTTCTCCTTTCATTTGATTTTCTTTCCCTTCCACCTATTCTAATCGCATATACATATATGCAGTCATGTACGCACACTACAGATGGCTTGCACACACGTTGCTTCAATTTGTTCTTCTCATGAGAAGCTGCATGCTTCTGTCAGGACCAAAATACTCGGCGTCCATGCGGATACCTGCCGAAGTCGACAATGTTTGATCGGAGTTCACATGTTCTTAATGCAGCAGCTACAAATCTAACGTACGGTAGCAATGCCATGGGAGCAGCTTCAACATACTTATCATCTATCAAACATATCTAAGATACATATTAATGGGGATTTTTCTTTTTTTATTAGCCGCGGTATCACAGGGGTCGATGCATGGTTATTGTATCCTTTCATGCATGTGGCATTAGGTGATCGATTTATTTCCTTCAAAGCAGGCAGGGATCCTTTGAAGAACATCAACGTACCTCCCTTCCAGAGCAGCATGATTATTGTTTCCTTCCATGCATGTGGCCTCAGGTGATCGATTTGTTCTCTTTAAAGCAGGCGGGGATTCTTTGAAGAACATCAACGTACATCCCTTACAGAGCAACATGATTTGGATGCATGATTATTGTTTTCTTCCATACATGTGGCCTCAGGTGATCGATTTGTTTCCTTCAAAGCAGACGGGTATCACAGGCGTGGACAGACGGACGAAACAAAACAAATGTCGCAAAAAAAATGTCCACATTTTATTCTTTTTAGTTGTAGGAGATTTTTAGGGACAGATTATTTTCCTCTTATTAAGGCTAGTTCTAACCTTGAAACCAGGTGGTTTATGATTTTATTAATTAGGTTGCTAATTAAGTAAAATGATGACGTGATATTAGAATTAATAATAAAGAAAATTATTTCATAGATGTCTCTTCGCTGCTTGCAGTTGCAGGCACCTGAGGATGTTGGCCCACTGCAAAATATTCAGGAGTAGAGTAGGGATGGAGGAGCTCTAGCACCGGATTTGAGGAAGAAACCCTAGTAATCATAAAGGAGCTGTCGAAATCAAAGGAGGAGACGACGGGGAGGGGCGTCGGCGCGTCGCTTGGTGGCGGCGACATTACGCGCACGGAGGAAGAGGAAGTCGCAGGGACGATGGGGCGAGCCACTGACTTGAAGCGGGCACAGAGTTGGGACCTGATTTTTCCTAGTCCGCCGCCGCCGGACTGGGAGCAGGGGACTGGAATGACAGGCGGCCAAGCGTGCCGCATCGCACATTCTCAGTGACGCTGAACCCCCATGGTTTGGAACTCAGGTGATTGCCCACTCCCATCTCTGATCTCTCCAGTTTGATTCCTTTTGCGTTGGTTCCAATCGAACACTACTGAAGCGAAAACCATCTCCCATTCTACCGAATGAACAGAACAAATCTCCAACCCATTCTACCAAATGATCAGAACAAATAATCTCCAACCATCATTGGCGGCTTTGCCCCAGAAAAGGACAATGTTTTTCAATTTCGTTACTTACTCATGATTATGTTGCAGTGATTAGTAATCCGTAGAAGGTCTCAAGCATTTTTTTTTGTCATCTGTTCATCACGAACCTCTTGAGTAAATCATCAAATGAACCATCTTCATTTATTAGAAATTCTAAAGGGAAAAGAGAGTTCAGACCTGACCTGCAGCAATGTGCAGGAACGAATCCTGGTTTACATACCATTGTCCTGAGTACTAAATTCATATACGATGGAAAAAGGATTGTAGCCATGACTCAAGAGTGGAGTGATTTTAGACAGTAAAATAAAATTATTTCATTAGATAGTTGGGTGATCCATAATGGAGGAGATTTAGTGACTTGCATCAGGAGCACCATTTAGCTGGTGTCCACATAAATAGCTTTTCCTTTTTATTCCACCAATCAGGAAATGAAATATTCTTCACTGTTGTCTGACAAACTGAAGTAGCAACTCTACCCACTAACGAAAATCCTCAACTGAATGGTTCACCTCATGCTGCAAAACAGAAATGGGCATCATGAAACAATAGCCGCTTATCTTTTTTGGGTAAAAGTATGACAAGCTACTTGTAGTAATTTTTGTTTTCTCACGTCCTTAGTTTGCAGTTATTTTGTTGTAGTACTAAGAAATCCAGGTAGCTACAAAGATACATTACTAATTCTAGAATAATTGTTTTATAAGACTAAAACAAGAATTCCCATTTATACGTTATTTCTGATACGGGGCAGGATTAGGACTTGCACATGAAGTGGGATAGTCCTAACCTTCATTAGGAAACAAGTAGCCCAGGCCACTATCCCTAAATCCAAACAAGTAACGCGTGTTTTGGAAAAAAATCAGTGGCAATTACATTGTATACAAATGTATAGTGATTTACAACATTATTTGGGAACATCAGGTGGCAAAGGTAGCTCACATCACTACTGAATAACAAATGCAATTTCTATGAACGTTATGGTTTTCTTTTGTGCAAATGATCATGGTTTTGGATAGGAAACACAAGACCAATCGAGAAGAAGTGTTCAGGAAACTAGAACTGAGCTGTCAGTACTCAGTACAGAGCACAAGTAGTAGTATTTTTCTCGATATCACAGATGTGTTTAATGTTTATGTTCTTGTTCGTTAGAGTCCACATGGTAAAACTCTGAAATCTGACCATTTGTTTGTTTGGAACTATCATTGACAGGATGCAGATTAACTATACAACTAGATTTCCTATGAGAACTACTACGATAATATTTCATTTTCAAAATTACAGGTAATATAGACTTACAAAAATATGTTGTGTATCTTTTACATCAATGATTGCCAAAAGCAAATAACATCAAGGAAAAGAAGAACAGAGAAAATTTTAACTGTTCTCCAACTAGATAAGCATGATTTGTAAGGTTTAGATTCCAGTACCTGTTTTTGTTAAAAAAAATATTAACTTCTAGCAACTAATACTCAGTCACAAATAAGCGATTGTTTTGTCTTAGTTCTGTCAACTATTTCAAATTATGGTTACCAATTTCTTATATGGAGTTTTGATATTCAAATAATATGAGTATATTGAACTCGAAAAGACTTTTCATAAAGGTTCACCTTTTCTGTTTTATATAAACATATTTCACTAAATGTCCTAGCCAAAAAGTCATTTTTGATTGGAGGGAACATTTTCCTTAGTATAAAGATTATATTTGTGTAAAGAACTTTTATAAGATGCTCATAGGCTAAGTATATGTTCTCTCTGTCCCAAAATAAATCAATTTTAGAGTTGTCCTAAGTCAAACTATATTAAGTTTGACCAACCCTATAACGAAGAGTACTAGCATCTATGACACCAAACAAGTATACTGTGAAAATATATTTCATGGTGCATCTAAATGATACTAATTTGGTGTCATAAATATTGGTTTGACTTAGGACAAAACTAGAGTGGCCTGTAATTTGGAACATATAGAGTAACTATTACTTTTAATGGATCTAAACAAGTCCATGGTATATTGGATGTTTATAGGTGAAAAAATGGCTGGACATGATATGCAAAAGAGAAGGGACACAAAGCTGGCCATGATGCTCCCTCGAGGATCCAATCGTCATCATTCATGTAAGAAATGAAGAATTAAGAAGCCAGTGTGCCATTGCCAGCAATGGACGAACCAGCCGCACAAACCACTGGATGTCCTATATTACTGAAGACAGAATTTGGTTCGTCATGTGGCATTTGGGTGTCAGTTTCCTGTAGTTGTCCCTCTGACAGAACAGAGCAATTTACAATTCCATTCTCAGTTGTCCCAAATGAAGCAGAAGCTCCTCCAAGATAAACTTCAGTTGGTACAGCCCTTTTGAGCAGAAGAACTTTTGGTTTGTTTGGATGTTCCTTAGCCACCCTCACCCAGTTCACTTTAGTACCATTGGTGACTCTAGTATCAAGAGTTACTTCCCTCAGTCGTGTGAAACCTTTAATCTGGATTCCAGAGAGGCCATCCATATCTTTATAAAGCAGCTGAAGAGATACAAGAAATGGCAAGGCGCCTTCTTGATCTTTGGGAATGTTGGATTCTGCAGCACAAAACATAGGCAGAGCAGCCTTGGCAATGCCTTGTTCTTAATGGTCATTTCTTCAAGTTCATCAGCAATCAGCTTCAGGTACTGCAGAGGCTTCAAGTTTATCAAATCTGAGAGAAGACCTGCTGTAAGTTTAGTTGACTGAAGGCATAATTCCCTGAGTCGGCGCAGTGCCATGACAAACCCAGGGAGTTCCAGTAACCTGCCCTGTAATTTCAGCGACCTGAGATAGCAGGGAGCTTTCAATTCTTTCCGAAAGTCTTCAGAGCATCCGTCCAAATGGAGTGACAAAGAACGAGGATCATTGCTTGCATCCTTGTCGTCATGAATGAACTCCTGTATGGCCTTCTGAAGAGTGGTCAATTTACTATTAGTTGCAGATGACTCACACCAGATCTTTACCTTCCGCAATTTTTTCATATGACCCATAAGTTCTGCAAATCCGTCACTTTCGTCTACAAGAAATCCTGTTAGTGACACTTTACATTTTGCTAAGTAAGAAATTTCTGCAGTTCATCATTTATGGCTTTATCTGGAAGCTTGAATTTTCCAAACAGATGAATTAAATGGGGCAGCTGAATAGCTTCAGTTGGAAGTATCTTTACATTCGTTCTCCTCAGGTTGAGTGTCTCCAAAAGTTTCAGTTGTTTTATCTCTTTGGGAAGGATGGTAACATTTCCTCCTAGGCTCAGATATTTAAGAAGCAATAGGTTGCATATTTCTGTGAGATGATCATTTTGCAAGTCTGTACAGTCTTCAAGGTCCAAGACTCTTAGCAGTTGGTACTTGTTGAAATTCAACATAGTTTTACCTGCCTCCCCAAATACTATCAGAGATCTGACAAGAGAGAGATCAATGTTCAAAGTGGCACCATCTGTAATAGTGTTGTGACGGAGAGAAACACGACGGGCATTTTTAGGTTGGAGCTCCCCTCCATCAAACAAAGTGACGAAGTTTTCATAGAGAGACTTGAGCGTAATGTACTCATGCATCATGCCATAAGTTTTGCATGTTTTCACAATTGTGTTGTTGCTCACATCAATGGGTTTGATGATGTGCTGGTCCAAGAGCTTCTCGAAATTTTCAGCTGCAAGGTTAGTGCATAAATTTGTTGGCCGCACAAATCCCTCAGCTAACCATTGCCTCTTTAGCCTTTTCGCCCTTACTGGATGATCACTTGGAAACATAGCAAAATACAGAAAGCAAGCTTTGAGAGCATGGCTAGGCAGACTGGTGTAGTCATGGATCAGCACCTGATGCATTCTGTCCAAAGTATCGTCACCATTCTGCAGATGGTAAAACTGTACCTGGTTGCACACATCTTCACAGCCATGTCCTGTTGGCCAACTCTTTTTTCCCATGAATTGGCCAACGGTAGTCAGAGTGAGTGGTTGACCATCACATTTCTTCAAAATTGCTGCCAAATCAGGCCCCACGCACTCTTTGAATGTTTCTCGTCAAGTCTTCTCATTTTGTGAATATAGCCATTGGTAGAGCTGCAAGTATTAGCCACTGATTTGATTTTCGTTGTCACCAATATTCTGCTGCTAACATCTCGATGAAAGGCAGACTTTATAGTACTCCATTGATCTGACCGCATGTCATCAATTACAATGAAATACCTGGAATATTGTGAAATGAGAATACAAAAATCAACAAAAACATCCAACACCATAATGATCAACGCGTGAAGGAAAGGTAATCATTTATTTTCATTTGACATCATTATCCTTCAGAAATAAATACATGTTTTCTAATGTTAAAAAGAGTATTTGCTCCTTATTGTGTTATATATATTATCATGCGCGGTATATTTGGAGGCCAGAATTTCAAGAGTGGCTTTAGCAGTTCTTTTGTTAATCTCCTTACTCAGTTTTATAAGAGCTGTAGGCAAAATTACTTACATATTAGAAATAATTTTACTAACTCATTTGTGAATCCGCAAATACATTTTGTACCAGAAAACTATCTGACTAGGATCTCTTTCTCATAACCATAGTTTTTAAGGTGTCGCCTAGTCGTCGCCTTGGCGTCTAGGCGATTTTCAAACCTGGGCGTCAGGGTCGCCACGACCTTGAGGGATATGGCATCCGCAGTCGTCGCCTAGGCGCGATTTGGCGTCCCTTTTGCGCTGGGCGGGCGTCGCAGGCGCGGAATCTTGGATGGCGCAGCGCAGGAGCAGAGCGCAGGCGGGAAAAGGAGCAGGGTTTCAGTGCGCGAGAAGTCGAGGGGAGTTCCGCGCGCAGGGAAATCGCGAGCCTACACCCCCTGCGGGGCCATGACCCCAGGCCAGCACGTCAATTGAGAGAGGGGAAAGGGCGAGGGTGGTAGGTAAAGAGGGAAAAGGGAAGAGGGTGGCCGGCGCAGCACCTGGAATACACAGTGGTGGCGTGCTGTCTCTGTCCAGCTGCTCCTGCTCCATCGATTTGCGCTTCCTCTGCCGCCACCGCCGATTCACCCCACCGATTCGTTCCTCCTTCCGATTCTCCATCGATTTGCGGCTCCAATTGGTGCTTCCGTATGGTTCTCTGTCGATTCGTGCCTTCAATTGATTCTTCCTCCCTTTGCTCCATCGATTTGTGTCCCCGTCTGGCCCGTCATCGCAGGCTCGCGGTACACAGGTAACTCTTCTGCTCCCGCTCTCCACTGTAGGCCTCTGCTCTGCCTTTAGGATTGCTGGTACATGGGTTCTAGGATTGACAGCAACAAGGTATGTTTGTGCTGCTCCATAGTAGGTTATAGTATGTGTATGGCGTCGCCTCGCCGCGCGCCTTACTCGCCTAGGCGTCTGGAAGGGGGTGGGTCGCCACGCCTCGCCTTACCGCCTTAAAAACTATGCTCATAACTAAAGTCTCTGCATGCTGTCTACAGTTGGCTTTAGAGAAAGATTTTCATAAAATTATAAGTAGGTGACTGTTTTCTATTTTCTAAGAGCAACTCTAGCTGCGCCCCTACTTGAGCCCCCATATCTATGGTTGCCCAAACAAAAAACGCAGCTCCAGGACCCCATCTAAGCCCCCAATTTGGGGTGGGCACCCAAATCCATCCTCCAAAACCCATTCCTGTGGGAGAATGGGGCTCACCCCTCGGCCCCCATATGCCTGTTGCGTCAGTTTTTCCCCGCCCGCACGCGGAAGACGGCGGCGCAGACCGTGTGACTGCCCAAAGGCGCGGCGCCTTCTCTCCCTCCGGCGGCCCTTCCCCTCCCTCCAACGGCCACCCACAGCCACAACGTAGCAGATCGACACCCGGTCCGGATCCCAAACGGCGAGCTCCTCCACACCCCTTCGTTGCGGCGGCGCAATGTAACACCCTAAAATTTGCTCCTTTTGAAGTAGATGTAAAATGAGGTAATTTTGAATTTATGTGCTCACGAAAACATAGGAAAATAAAAATTTTCATTAATTTAAAATTTATCATAAGGTAGCAACATGTATGTGCATACATGCCGATGCATTTGTTTTACTTGGTTGAGTGGTTTTGACAAAAATTCAAAATGAAATTAAATTGCTTTTGAAAATAAATTAAAAATGGCTTTGAAGTAAAAGAAAAGAAAATTAGGAAATAAAATAATTTAAAAAGTTGTAAAAATTATTTTTTAAAAAACTTACTAAAATTTGCTCACTTTTATTTGAATTGAAAAGTATATTCAAAACTTTATTTGAAGTTGCATTTGGTTCATATTTGAATGTGATTTGGAAATAGGAAAACAAAATAAAACGGGAAAAAAAATTCTCTGTTTCTGGCCCACCCGGCCTCTTCCCTTCTCCTCAGGATTCTCCCGAGCCGGCCGAGCCGCGTCGCCTCCCTACTCCGCCCTCCAGCGCCGCAGCCACCCTCGCCGAGCCACCGCAGCCGCGCTGCAACCTAGCGCCGCCGAGTCGCCGTCGCCCGCCGAGCGAAGTGCCACCTCCACTTGCTCCGTGTCGTCGAGATCCGCCGCGGTGAGTTCGCCTTGGTCCCCGCTTGACCCCTGTGCCCTCGGTTTTCTCTCCTGTGGCCTCTAGGTTCGGATTTAGGTGCGCCGGTGAGGTGCCTCGCCGTCGGCAATGGAGTCCGCCGCGCCCAGCTACTGTTCCGGCGGCTCTCCTCACTCCTTTCCCCTCTGATCTAATCCAAGCCGACCAGTGAAGATCCAACGACCCGAGTTAGCCCGTACCCCTTCGGCGGGCAAATTTTCAAAAGACCCCCCCTTTTCAATTATAGAACCCGCAGTCCATAGCACTTTTTCAAGATTACGTTTTCTTCTTTGGAAATCGTAGTTTCTTCGGTTTAGATCCAAAATACGTTTTCACTTATTTACAAATTTGCCACTAATTTTGTTTTAGCCATAACTTCTCCGTTTTAACTCTGATTTGATCCGTTCAACTTGCGTTAGGTTCGTAATTTCATAATATACATGTTCATACTACTGTTAGATAAGTTTTCAACTTTTAAAATTCGAGGTTAGATTTAATCTATTACTTTAATAAATGAAATCTTGTTTAATTCATATCTTTTGCGTTTTAGCTCTGTTTAAGCCCATTCAAGTTGCGTTAGATTCATAGCGACGAGATCTACGCGTTAGTAACAGTGGTTACCATGTCACTATTTCTGGAATTTCATGGTTTAAATCATATCTTGATTAATAATTATGCAACTAGATTTTATGGATAAAATATGATTTGTTTTACTTTAGTTTTATAATTCGAATCTAAATTTGATTTTATTCAATTTATATAAGATTTTATATAGTTAAAATAAATGAAGCCTATATTTTTCTTTTCCACGTATAAAGCAGATCTATCGGTAGATGTATCTTTTTCACCGTAGCTTTGATTAGCGTGCTTTTCGCGTCTGTGTTCTGTTCGTAGTGAAACGTGGATTCGTTTTATAAACTTTTCATCTTGATTTTATGTTTGGTGTACTGTTTTAATTTAGATCTATTGTTTGCTTCGTGTATGATTGTATGGATGCTTGTGTGGTGCTTTATGATTTCATCCAGTTAATGAGATATACGTGGTGATCAAGAAGAACGTTGAAGATTAAAGCTTACCGAAGGATCGGTGTTTTAAGGCAAGTATAGCATGGGATCTATATACCATTAATCACTTATCATACTGCATGTGTTCACCTTGATTACCACTAAGTATTTCCTAGTACTTTGTACTTTGTGCCTTGATACCTTTGGTTTCTTGCATTGGGTAGTATGATGCTAGTGCTCAACTAAAGCCATAATCTCGTAACTTGACTAATGGTATATGCAATAAACACTAAAAGATGCTTTTTAGCAACATGGAACAAGGGGGCTAGAGCATTTGGCTGTTTTTATGGTGCTCTAGATTCCTCTCCCTAAGGACTTATCTGTAAGTGATCATCCGAGACTTACAGTACAACTGTGAGGGCTATATGGCTCTGGCTTTAGCTCAGTATGAGAACCTTTCCTAGCTTGTTAGAGGTTACCTTTATGGCGCAAGAGGGGCTCCGGTTTGTATGATCTTGGCCTGCCAAGAGAGTGTACTTTGGTTTCTTTGTATTTTGTTAGTCACTCCTTAGAGGGGGGTTTATGCTTACTGATGGGGAAACCTTAGCTGCTCTAACTTGTTAAACGAACCTTTGAAAGGTTTCATAGTGAACCCTGCCGACCTTCCTTGGTAGTGGGTCAAAAGGTTGGCCGCCTCGGGCGAAAGGGTAAATCACGACTCACAGTGAAAGTCTACAACCTCTGCAGAGTGTAAAACTGGTATATCAACCGTTCTCACGGTCACGAGCGGCCTTAGAACCCTTACGGAATAGACGATCACTAATGGTTAATGATGATGAACACGGATGATACTGATGATGAATATGCTCATTAATGATTACTGTTTATGCTGTTCATTATTCATGCTTACCTGATCATGTGTTTATGGGCCTGTGATGAACTTGTTGCCACCCAATTGCTAAAAGATGACTCATTAAAAGCTAATCGCAGTTAAACCAGTGTCAGCTTTTTGAGCCTCATGAACCCCATATTATATTTGTTAAGTACGACATGTACTACGCTTGCTTTATTTTTTAATTATTTGGATAAAAATCCCGGATGGGTACTAGATTGCTAGAGTTTGGAGGAATTAGGCTTGTGATCAACCAGTCAGTTGTCCCTGTGGAAGTGGAGTCTTCACCTAAAGATCGGAGTTATCTTTCCACTGTCTATACTCTGAGGTTATAATCTTTATACTAATACGCTATGTATTTAAGCATTGTCTTTTGATATTACCCTTATTTGTAGCTATATGTAAGATTTGACTTCCTGGGCTCACATATGGTGTGTATCTGGTTTTGTTCTTAAAACCGGGTGCTACACGCAAGCCCGTGGCGGACATGGCGGAACGTACACGATTCCCCGGTGGCACGCGACTCCCTCGGTCCCTCCTCGACGAGCGCGCGACTCCCTCGCCAACGAGTCTCAGGTGCTTCTCCTCCGGCTTCGCGACTCCCTTCGAAGCCCCGACGGTGGCGTAGCTCCCCTGTCGCGAGGTTCCCCTGCGGCGGCACAACTCCCCTGTCGCGCAGCCCGTTGCCCAGCAGGAGGAAGAAGACAGAGAATGACGAGCGGGCCCTGTTTGTCGGTGTCTGCTGGAATGAATTTGAGGGCTCAAATTTGGGTGCTACAGCTGGAGTAGAAGTAAAAAAACAGGGCCCTGAAAAGTAAGGGGTAGCACCCAAATGAAAAGTAGGAGCTCTGTTTTGGGGGCTACTGCTGGAATTGCTCTAAGGGGTGGTAGAAAATTTCTTACCTCTTGTTATTTAGGAAGTTCCTTAGATCAGTACTAAGCTGGTACCCCATGCACTGCAGAAACCCATGCCCTTTCGTCGAATTGCTTGCCGATCACGCTGTTGTACAACTCCCGGGCAAGGATGGTCTTCCCCAATCCACAGAAGCCAACTATTGAGATCACTTTCAACTGCTTGGGTTGACCTTCAAATTCTGCCAACTGCTCCAGAAACTCCTCAAGGGGTGGCTTGATGCCAACCAAATCAGCCGGAAGGATATACTGATTCAAGGATGATTCTGCCGGCTGGAATGTGGATGGACGGGACACTGAATACCTCTGTTGCCGTTGGAGTGCTTCCTCCAGTCTGCACCTTAGTTGCTGCATCTCTTCGCCTAACTGTGAACGTGATTTTCTCTTCTTCCCAGTTTTAACCATTTTGCAGTACCATGGCTGTTGTTGTTCCCAAGATGCATCATATACGATGTGGTCTATACAGTACTCCATTTCATGAGCCACTTGGCGCAACTCTTCAACGGACAGACACAGTATGTGATCATCCTGCCCCAAGAGCTGCCCATCAATGGCACTAGTGATCATTTTAAGCTCACTATTCACAAAAGCCAGATCTCCTTCAAAGCCCTTGTACAGCTTGTATTTTTTTTTCTCGAAAGATCGCAGGAGATCTGCGTCTCATTGTATTAAGAAGAAAAGAGGGTACAAGAACCCAGACTTACAAACACCCCAAACACAACACACACACGACACAAGCTACACCAGCCAAGGCACAAACGCAGCTCGGCTGGTTGAAGGCGACTTCTGCAGAGATCCCAGAACTAATCACACAGGGAGCTGGGCGGTCAGAGGAGAGCCCTCGAGCCCCCTCTTTGGTCCACAACCGACGTTCTTCATGGCCATTACAACAGCCCCAACCACACTTGGAGCTGCTCCATCAAAGACACAACGATTGCGATGTTTCCAAAGAGTCCAGCCCCCAAAATAATTAGGGAATTAACTCCTTGCCTCACCATATCGGAAGTAGCATTATTAGCTCTCTCCCACCAGTCCATGAAGGAATCGATGAGGTTGGGGAGACAAAGCACAGAGACCGACCCGCCAAGCAAAATGAACCAAAATTCCTGGCGAATACACATTCCACAAGGAGATGGCTGATTGATTCCTCTTCTTGATCACACAGCGGACAATAACTGGGTGAGGCATTCCACGTCGTGCAAGGCGGTCGGATGTCCAACACTTGTTGTGGACCACTATCCACATGAAGAACCGACATTTTGGTGGCGCCCAAGTCTTCCAAATTCTTTCCCATGGTTCAAAGAGAGTAGCTCCCAAGAACAAACCCTCATATGCCGCCTTAGCCGAATATTGGCCATTAGATGAAAGCTTCCAGACATGTTTGTCCCCTTTCCGGGTTGCAAAACAATGCACGAAAGGGTATCACACAACTGGAACACATCAATTATCAGTCCAACAAATAATAGCCCTTGAATATACATTATCCAAGCCCGGTTATTAAGTGCCTCCTTGATCAGACGCTGTTTGATCTTTCTTTTAGAAACGACAAGCAAGCAGTCGAGGAGCCAAATCTCATGATGTAATCGACCATGCAGCCACCTGTCGGTCCAAAAGCGGGGGTGCTCGCCATTACCAACTTCGGTGATAACAGCCACAAAGAAAGAAGGCCTTCACTGGTCGGGGACCTGAATAGGGAGATGCGCCCGAGGCGGTTTGGCTCTGTTTTACGCAACCACAACCATCTCATTCTTAATGCCCAACCAAGCGTTTTTAAATCTGAAATACCTAACCCTCCAAGTTTAGTTGGGCGGCAAACCTTCCCCCAAGCTACAAGACAATGTCCTCCCCTTGTTTCCTTGCGGCCACGCCAAAGAAAACCACGCCTTATTTTGTCAATTGCCTTGATAGCCCAAGTTGGAAGATCTCGATGCCATAACAATATATATACCATCATACCAAGAAGCACATATTGAACCCGAATCCTCCTTCCCGCCCTTGTCATCAACTCCGCCTTCCAACCCGCAATCGATCAACAATGCGGTCAACAATGGGTTGCACTTGACTTTTACTTAGCTTTTTCAAGGACAGAGGCAAACCTAGATATTTGCAAGGGAACTCGGCAAGGGAGCGGGGTAGCAAATTTTGAATGGTTGTCGACTCCAAGTCACCACATCTAATTGGGAGAACTTTGCTCTTTTGAAGATTAGTGTTCAGCTCGAGGCTTCACCAAAATTTTGAGGATATCCATTGTTACGTAAATGTCGCTAGCCATCGGATGGAGGAAGAGCACCACATCATCCGCATATAAAGAAATTGGTCTTTGCATATTTCCAAGAGAGAGGTCAGTAGAAGACCTTCCCTTGCAACTTAGGCAATCAAGTGCCCCAAAACATCTATGACCAAGATGAAGAGCATGGGAGAAAGGGGGTCACCTTGCCGCAGCCCTCGTCGATGGGAACTATATTTTCCAGAATCCCATTCAATAAAACTTGAGTGCTCGAGGAGGATAACATCCCACAAATTATATCTCTCCAGATTTGCCCGAAGCCCAGTGCTTTGAGGACCTCCAAGAGGAAGGGCCAGAAACTGAATCAAATGCCTTAGAAATATCCAATTTAAGAAGTATGCGGGGCTGCTTTTGTTGATGAAGATATCTGGCTGTTTGTTGTACCAACATGAAATTATCCTGTATGAAGCGCCCTTTTATGAACGCACTTTGATTTGGTGACACCATTTGCTGTAGATGATCAGCAAGCCGATTGGCCAACATCTTAGTGATAATTAGTCCCTTAGAAAGATGCAAACCGATCTTTAAAAATCAATGCATAATCAGCACCTCATAAGATTCCAGAACAGAGTAGTATTACCCAACTACAATAAACCTAAGAGCTGTACCAGGATCAGGCTAGGAGAATCTAAACTAGCCTATGAAGTAATTCACCCTTGCATGATGTTAAGCCTCATCTACTGAAAGCTGTAGCTATTATTACGCACCTACGTTGTGCTCCAGCTGGAGTTTGTTGGTGAGGGGTGGAGACTTTATTTTTTAGCGTAAAGGGGAGGAGACTTTGACTGTGACTCGGGAGAGATGCACCATTTTTGTGATATATATAATGGTCTCATTGTTGGTTTAGTAAGCAAGGGCTAACACCGTTAGATTTCAACAAAAGCCAACAATACCCCTGGTTTCTTCCTCTTTCCTCTCTGCATATACAGTAAAACAACCACAAGTTCTATATGCAAGCATCAAACTTCAGCAATATCCGACTCTTTTGTAACATCAGAAAAGTTGTCGGTGAAAGCATGTCAAGGCTCGCTGGCATCAACCGGTCCTCCCATCTGTGTCGGCGTGTGCGACAATGAGAGCAACGAGCCACGAGACCGGAGTCCTTGTTTAGGCCTTGATCGTTTTATCCCTAAACTATGGGGATTGGAGGGGATTGAGAAGGATTTTGACTTGAGCGGTACACTGGTCTTTTAGCATTCCAATCAGCCTTTTTTTGTTATCTCTTCTGAAATTTGTTTTAGTTGGGTAATATAAACGGTCCCTCGTGGCGTTAGGGGTAGGGGAAGGTTTCGTTCACCAACTGCAGGGTCATCGTTGTGATATGCGAATTCTGTTAGCAAATCACAAGAATCTTCAGAATGAGGGCATATAAGGAATTGCCGTGCCTTCTTCTATCTTTGTTTTTTTCCTTTTCTTTGTTTTGTGGGTCAACCCTTTGAGTTTTGCTTCTTTGTCCTTATGCATAAATAATTATTACCCTTTGGCACTGTCTTGGTTTATGCACCCTAGAGATCTATTATTTTGGACCTATGGACACATTTGACTAGTTCTCTTTCTATTCTAGACAAAAGAAAAAAGAAGTCTCACTTTTGTTGCTTTTACGTTCAGACTATTGATCTGAAGTAGAGCTTAAAATTGGAGGCGTGATAAATAGGGATTTCGTTCTTTTTATAATAATTAGTAAATATGTATTTACATTGTAATGGAATGTAAAATTTGTTGTGTTGTGCTTGTGCCGATAATAATGAGCTAGCTATTTTTCTTCAGTTTGATTGGGCTTGATTCAATCTTAAATCAAATAAATTCCAAGAGTCATGGGAGATGCTAGTGCAATAAAGAATCCAATATAGAAAAGGCTGACTCAACTTAAATAGGTGGTTATTGTGTGAACATGATGTGAGTTTATAAGAAAGGTGGAAGGCGAGACATATGTCCTTGACATGAATGGGTTTAGTGCGACCAAGTCATGGCTTAAGATGTTCGGCGCTAATAAAGGTTTTGTGGCTCCAACCTCGAACTGAGAGGGGTGAAAGTATGGGATGGATGGATGGTGAGGAGAGTGAAAGACTAAAGGACGGGTGATAATGAGGAACAGTGGACCTAGAAGGTTGAGAGTCAGGGACATATGGATAGTGAAGAGAGTGAGAGACGAAAAGAACATGGGTGAGAGTGAGGAACGGTGGATCGAGGAGGGTGAGAGTGGGGGACGGACAGATGGTGAAGAGAGTGAGAGACGAGAACAAGAGGGTTGAGAATAAGAACGGTAGACTGAGAGGGAGAAATTTTCACTCTTTATATTACATATAATATACTAGAAAACATGTCCTGCTTTGCAATGGGAAAATAAAAACTACCAAATGTTCGTGCAAAACAACGACGAGAATGATATATCTCTATTTATATTTTATCCTTTCTACAAAATTTTAAATCTCTAATTTTTTTATATCACCATGGCATCCATAATATAAATTTGGCAATAATATGACAATATACTATTAAATCGGTATCAAGTTAAAATACAATCCTAAAAGATTTTTTTGTCATTGCAAACCATAGAAATATTTAGATGTGAACATAATGTAACTTTAATTTTCACATATTCATGTGTTGCTATAGTTAAATATTAAGCTCCATGGCTTTCTTTGAGGACCTATAAAAATATATAATTTTCATACCTGATTAAAGTCGGCAATGAGTTAGTTGGCTAGTCACACCATCCACTTTGGCATGACTTAGTTGGCAAATCACAATCCACTTTGGCATGACTGAGCTGGCCAGTCACATCATCCGCGGTGGCGCGACTTAATATCATGCTACGTCAGTGGTTTACATGGAAAGTGTTTTGTGGATATGCCAGCGTGTTAGTCACGCTAATGCATATAACGCGATAGAGGTTACTAGACGCACTATGGTCTCTAGGGTCATGAAAAAGACTTCTGAAAATCTTGTTCAGGATTGGCTCTTTTTAATATTTTAGTATTTTTTGATGGATAAGTCTCATGTGTGGCTGGTCTTTGTGGGGCTATGATGCTCACATGGTCATGGTCCTTATGGCTGTTTTTCTGTTTTTAGGACAGCATCTTAGACTAGAGGACAGCATCTTAGAGGACAGCATCTTAGACTAGAGGACAGCATCTTAGCTAGGACAGCATATTAGCATCTTAGACTAGCATCTTAGACTAGCATCTTGGCATATGCTTGGCTGGCTAGCAGCATATAAATATGTAACCTCAACCCCTTGAGTTGGCATGGCATTTGTGTGAGCTTGTGTGAGAAATAGATAAGAAAATTGCCTCAACTCCTAGTGTCATCCTCTCTCGATGAGAGTAAGAATTCTCCTACTACCAAGAGTGAGAATTCAGCGACTAACATTTTTTGGGCTAAATTAAACAACTTCCTCCTCGTGGCAGTTGACTAGTACTGTTCTGTGATTTTTTTTTAGAAAGACAGTCGAGAGAGTGTCTCATATTTGATATATATCAAGGAAAACAATAGTTTGTACAAAAGGACGACATGACAAAAAAATGACATCTAACTCTATCATGATGGTGAAGGATTGTAAGTCTGTGTTTCTTGGAGGGTTCCTCCAGCCGATATTATTTCAGTGGGTTCTAGATCTCGTTATCAGCAACGAGTGAATTTTACGGTCTTCAAAGCTTTGTATGGCGAAGATGTTTAAAGGTGTCATTTTCCTTTGCTGTCTTTTCAGTGGTTCTTTAATCTTCGATAGGCAATGTCGTTGAGCTAGCACGTCGTGTGTCCACATCACTGAAACGGGTGTTGACTGTTGAGTACACCATAGACTCGGTCACCCGGACAACCAAACCGCTTGGAAATCTTAAAATTAAATTTTCTTTTATGGTGGCTTCTGCCATTTTCTATTATTGATAAGAGCATTGTACTATTGCACGGACACTAGTGTAAATAGAAAAATAAGAATAATGATAAAGAAAAAGAAGTAGCACAATTTAACAGAACCTGGTGGGTCTCAGGGATTATTGGCACCACTATTGTTCCTATTGGTTCTCTTTCCAGTCTCAGATTTGCATTATTTGTGGTGCCAATCCAAGTCCAGAACTCCAGATGGTGTGGAGTAGATAACCACCAATACTCATCTCAATTCTCTTGTTTCTTCCCATGTGAGATGGAGGGTCCTATGTTCAGTTCATCGCTAGGTGCCATGAGATCCCTTCTTGGGAAGCTCCGTTCCCTGCTGGTCTCTGCAGAGGATCAGGTGCCAGAGCCATTGAACTCACAGAAGGACAAGCTCGAGCTCCTCAAACAAGATCTAGAAGAAATAAACACCTTCCTCACCAATCTGTCATGGGTGGAAGCTCCCAACATGATGGTGAGGCACTGGATGAACGAGGTGCGTGATCTTTCCTACGATATTGAGGACTATATTGACAAGAGGATGCATCCTAGCCCCGATTCCAGTGAAGAGTCTCGCTCGGAGCCTGCGGTAGAAGAATTAAGCACTCTTGTGAAGCAGGCAAAGGACACCCTGGAACGACACAACAGGTACGATCTTGGGCATTGGGCATCGAATCCTAGATTTGTGATCCATGGTGGGCAAGGCCCGGTTCCAAGGCTCAACGGGGACACCACAGACCTTGTTGGTATCGATGATTCCAAGGCTGAACTTATCAAGCGGCTTAACATAGACGCCGAACAGAGGCTAGTAGTATCCATACAAGGACCTCCAGGTGTTGGTAAGACTACACTTGCCAAACAAGTGTATCGTGAAGTGGAAGGACAGTTCGAATGTCGAGCTTTTGTTCGAGCCTCAAAGATGCCTGATACAAGGAGGCTTCTCGGTAACATCATCTCCCAAATCCAGGGTCACCATCAAAGACCCCCTGATGGTCTCCCCGTGCAAGAGCTCATTGACATCCTAAGAACACATCTCCAACAAAAGAGGTATAAGTGCATGTTAAGCAGTGCTTCCTCCTTTTCCAAAAGTATGATTGGCTTTCTGTTTTCAGCATTTATACGATGAAATGGTAGAGGTTCACCAATCACTGGATCAACAGGAAAAAAATCCTGAAAAGAAAATCTTGATATACTAGCCGATTTACCTATGCACTGAATTTCGAGTATGTGATTATGAATTCAGTGCATAGGTAAATCTTGATATACTATGTGGCTCCATCTCCGGCTATAGCTGCTACAGTGAGTATGAATAGCAACAATGAGAAAATCTGACAACTCATGAATTGTAAGGAAAAGGAAAAAACAAAAAAAAATATAGATGTCACTACTGACAATAAACTTATCGTTTCTGTTTCTCGTAACACAGTGGAGTTTGAAGTTGAAACTGTGAGATCGTGATAAAAGTAAATACCAATATTTTGAGCCTACAAAGTCAAAGCAGGTGTGCAAGTTCATCAGGTCAAATAAGAAAATTTGGAACTATTAGGGAAACTGGAAACCCAATGCAAATATAATCCTTATGTTCCATAAGTTTGGATTGTCATGTTTTTGTTATTTTTATATTGCACCTAGCCTGCCACATAATAATTATAAAAATATTTGGCAGGTATTTCATTGTAATAGATGGTTTGTCGGAAACAACATCATGGGATATTGTTATCAGTGCACTTCCAGAGGACACTCATTGTAGCAGAATATTAATAACTACAGATACTGAGGAAGTAGCTCAGGAGTGCTGTGATTATGGATCTGATGCTATTTTTAAGATGGAGCCACTTAGTGGAAATTACTCCAGAGAATTGTTCTTCAATAGAGTGTTTGGCTTTGAACATGAGCTCTCTAAACAATTGAAGGAAAACTCAGAAGAAATTTTAAGAACATGTGGTGGTCTGCCATTTGCGACCATTAGCTTAGCTAGCATTTTAGCTAGCCAACCAGATAACTTAGAGCTGTGGCAACATGTCAAAGAAGCATTATTTTCCAGATTGAGATATAATAATCTTACTTCAGAAGTCATGCTAAGAGAAATAGTTGGTCTGAGCTTCAATAGGCTTCCTCACCATTTGAAGACATGCCTACTATATCTTAGTATGTATCCTGAGGGTTATACATTCTTGAAAGCTGACATGGTGAAACAATGGAGTGCCGAAGGTTTTATAATTGCAGTAGAAGAGAAAAACTGTGATGAAGTTGCAGAGTGCTATTTTGATGAGCTTATCTACAGGGGACTGATACAGCCCAATCATACCAATATCTCAGGTGAGGTGATTTTATATACACTGCACTCCACTGTATTCGAAGTTATTAGGACCATGTCCAATGAAGAGAACTTCAGCACTATGATAGACTACTCTAATACCATCTCAGAGCTTTCTGTAAAGGTTCGACGACTATCTCTCAGATTCAGTAGTGCCAAATATGCAACGAAACCAGAAAGCATTACACTATCCCCTGTGCGGTCACTTGTCTTTTATGGACTTGTTGAATCCTACCTCCTAGCTCTTTTTGGGTCCGGTGGTTTTTTGGTCCTGCCTTATAGTTCTCTAGAGACACAACGTAGTTTGGGTTCTTAGGGTGGGTTGCAGACCCTTTTCTCTGTAACAGTTTTTTTTTTTTTTTTTCTGTGTGTTTTTGTAACAGTTTTCTGGGGCTCTTTTCCCCCTCCTTTTTTCTTCTTAATATATTGATGCGCAGTTCTCCTGCGCGTTCGAGAAAAAAAAAAAGATTAGGGAGTTTCAGGTACTTCGAGTACTTATTCTTGAAGTTTGGGGTGACCAAGAGGAGCTAGACCTCAGTGGTATCGACAGATTGTTTCAGCTGAGGTATATGCGTATTACATCTAACATCACTGTGAAACTACCAGCCAGGATGATTGGACTGCCATATTTGCAAACACTGGAAATTTATGCAAGAATAACTTCTGTTCCATCAGATATTGTTAGTCTCCCGAGATTGTTGCACCTCTCTGTACATGGTGAGATAAATCTGTTCAGTGGTATAGGCCACAGGAGATCTCTACGCACACTTGAATCTTTTGACCTCAGCAGTAACTCTGAAGATAATATATGGAAACTTGGTAAGATGACAGACCTGCGTGATCTTCATGCCACAAGTCCTACAGAAATGTCTGACCCTCTCAAGAGGAAGTTGATAGCTTTCGTTTCTTCCCTTGAGAAACTTGGCAACCTAAAATCTATAATTCTTGCACCTGTTCCTTCGTGCACAAGCATTTACTTGGATTGCTCATGGAGCACATCTTCTCTGTCCGTCTTCCTGCAGAGACTTGAGTTGTTGCCGCCCTTTTGCATCTTTTCAAGCCCCGTATGGATTGGACAGCTCCGGAAGCTAAGCATTTTGAAAATTGTTCTTAGGGAATTTACGACAAGTGATGTTGACAGCATCGCCAAGTTACAGGAACTCACCATTCTCTCTCTGTACGTCAGGCAACCAACAGCAGAACAGATTGTCTTCCATCGTGCAGCATTTCCTGTTCTAAAGTTTTTCAAATTCAGATGTGGCATTATGCGCATTGCTTTTCAGCCAGAAGCAATGCCTAGGCTTCGGAGTCTGAATCTTGAATTCAATGCCCACAGTGGAGAGCAAAATGGTAATATGCTTGTCGGCATTGAACACCTGTTAAACCTCCAAGAGATCACTGGCCGAATTGGGGCAGCACCGGGTGCAGAGGAATCCGACAGAATAGCTGTGGAATCTGTGTTCAAGGATGCCATTAGCAAGCATTCAAGACTTATAAACTTCAACCTACGAATTGTGGGTTTGTTTGACGAAGAGTACGTGCCTTTCTTCTCCTTGTAGTTTCACTGAAACGTTACAATAAACTGTTGCTAGCTACTTGATTGTGTCCTGGGCTGGTGTGTTTCCCTTAGCCTAAAGCAGTTTCCAAACTAGCTGAAGAAATTTCAAATGAGATTGCTATACTTTCAGATTGTAGACTTTAATAACATCAAGATAAGAGGAGTGCCGAGGTTCAATACTTTATTTACTTGGTCAAGTTTAATCTGCTGGATTTAGTCATGGTTAAGATTTCTGGCGTGCATCAATTTTTATAGAAGATCTGATAATGACTAGTTCTACATCTTTTATTTCTCAACACATACTAGATAGCGCTTTTAGGTGAAAAACTGTATGAAAAACAAATCTTTTAGGTGATGTTTACCTTTTTTCCTCTTATAATCTTAAAATGTAGCCGATCTGCTCATGTGATTGCAGGAGTAAACCACCTATTTGCTATGTTTTTGGTTATAGCGTTCTAGTTTGTATGGCTGAAATTTCTATTGAAGTTACTATCAATTCTAATTTCCATGACTAAACATAGACGTGATATGCAAATGTGATACATCTAATATAATACCCACTATCAAAATAAGAACACTAACATGAAACATAATATTAATGTATTGGGTATATGTTACACAATCTCTGCAGGTGGCATAAAAGAAGTGAGCTAGACGAGGTAGCTGCAGTTGTTGAAGAAGTGTCGCAATCCAAAGATGCAAGTTCAACACGAAAACAATTCTTCAGCGTGCCGTTCCAGGCGATCGTGGATAGGCGGTCGTCAGACGATGGCTACAACTGGCGCAAGTACAACCAGAAGGAGGTGAAGCAGATCGGTGAGTACCTCTACAAGTGCACCTTCCCGACCTGCCCTGCCAAGAAGAAGGTGGAGAGGTCGCAGGATAGCCAGATCTCCGAGATTGTCTACAAGGGCACGCACAACCACGCGAGGTGGCCGCAGAAGGCGCCGCAGCTGCTGCAGAGCGGCGACGCGTCCGAGCACTCGTTGGGTGGGATGTCTGAGCACTCGTCCCAGCAGCCTGGCACGCCGGGCCGCGCGCGCCGCCGCCCGGATCTCACCCTCCCCATGCCCCAGCGCGAGGCCGCCACCTCCGCCGGGGGTCCCACCCCGCCGAGCGTCCCCGCTCCTGCCGCCGCCGCGGCGCACCAGCAGCAGCCGCCCCCGCACGCGGAGCTGGAGCGCGTGCGCCGCGTCGGCAGCGGCGCCGGTGGGACGGTGTGGATGGTGCGGCACCGCGGCACGGGGCAGCTCTACGCGCTCAAGGTGCTCTACGGGAACCACGACTACGCGGTGCGGCGCCAAATTGCACGTGAGATCGCCATCCTCCGCACCGCCGAGCACCCGGCCGTGGTCCGCTGCCACGGCATGTACGATAGCGGTGGGGAGCTGCAGATCCTGCTCGAGTACATGGACGGTGGCTCCCTCGACGGCCGCCGCATCGCCGCCGAGCCGTTCCTCGCCGACGTCGCGCGCCAGGTCCTGTCCGGAATTGCCTACCTCCACCACCGCCACATCGTGCACCGCGACGTCAAGCCCTCCAACCTCCTCATCGACTCTGCGCGCCGCGTCAAGATCGCCGACTTTGGCGTCGGGCGCATCCTCAACCAGACCATGGACCCCTCCAACTCCTCCGTCGGCACCATCGCCTACATGAGCCCCGAGCGGATCAACACCGACCTCAAAGACGGCAGCTACGACGGCTACGCCGGTGACATCTGGAGCTTCGGCCTCAGCATTCTCGAGTTGTACCTGGGCAGGTTCCCCTTCGGGGAGAACCTCGGCAAGCAGGGGGACTGGGCCAAGCTCATGTGCGCCATCTGCTACTCCGATTCGCCTGAGCCACCGACCACCGCCTCGCCCGAGTTCAGGGGATTCATTAGCTGCTGCCTGCAGAAGAACCCGTCCAAGCGGCCGACGGCCGCGCAGCTACTGCATCACCCTTTTGTCGCCAGCCCGCAGCCGCAGCCCCTCGCTGCTCCTCCCCCTGCCATGACCACCGTTTCGGATTGGGAGTAGAGTATGGATCTCATCTCAGTTCGGCCTTGGCTGCAGGCAGTGTCGACTCCAATCCGGCATTCCAATGTCTGTCAGGGCATCCTTGGATGGACGGAACTGATGTCTGCAGGGAATTGGCTGGCCAGTTTCGATGGTGGTCTTTCCATCATCGTCGTTCTCATCCATCCATGGCTGCTGCTGCTGCTGCTGCAGTTAAGGAGGCACCCCTTGATGTTCTTCAAACCAATTTTGAGTGTTGTGTCCATCATCAATTCATCATCACGATCGTCCTCAACCAGCTCCTCGTTGCGATTAAGGTTCTTTCTCCTTCCTGTTGTTTGATGTTTTTTACTTCCCGCGAGAGAAAAAAAGTGTGTACAAATGATTTTGTAAAAGATCATATCGTATTTCAAGTACAGAGAGGTCCGCTTCGTACCAATTTCATTGTTCTAAAAAAGGTTTCGTTAGAAACTTCAACTTTTCTTTTTTTTTATCTCCAATCTCCATGTAGCGGAGCTGTCACATGAACTGACAATTCAGCTAGGATGCTAGCATCTCTCTGATATTTTTCACTATGTAAAAAATCGACATTACAGACGCCCGTTTAGACACATTACAGACGCGTTTAGGTGAGTCTGCCATAACACATTTGTAATAAGGGCTTATTACGCATCTGTAAGAAGCCCTCCATCTGTAATAAGTTACCAACAAGCGTCTTTGTTATACAAACACATGTCTGTAATTAGGTTATAGAACAGACTCGTGCAGCAAAGACACGTCTGTAGTAACCCTATTACAGACGCGCATAGCCAACACGCATCTATGACAATGAATTAAAAAACAAAAAATAAATAAATTCCAATGCTTAGATCATACATATACATCCAATACGAGGAGGGCTTCTTCTTCTTGGACGGCGCGGGCGCGGAGACCTTGGCGGGCTTGGCGGCAGAGAGGCGCGCTGCGCGCCGGAGGACGGATCCTGGCAACAGATGGAGATGCGATGGGGCCCGAGGAATCGCTGCCGCCGCCGCCCCGACTCCTCAACCCGCGCCGCCGCCGACTCCTAAACCCGTGCCGCCGCCGCCTCTCAGCTCCCGAGGACCCGCCCGGCCCCTCCGTTTCCAGGATCCTTCCACCGACTCGGCCCATGGCAACGGCCCAGACCTTTTACGGGCCAATCCAATCCAACTCGACCCTCTTGTATACATGGCCCATTGACAATCCGCAAAAGTAGGCCCGTGAGTTGGGGGCCCTTTCAGCCCTTGGGTTTACACGATCCATTCCCAGGGGTAGTCATAGCCTGAACCATTTCTTCTTTTTGTATGGAGCAAAGCAAATGCACTAAATCTTCTTTGACAGACACCTGATGATATGCATTGCGAGGCAATATGTAATTCAGGACACTGCCCTGCATAAGAACATCACCAGTCAGCTGCAAATAATTTTAAAAAGTTAACCTGCGATGTTTGTGACATCTAGCGCTGATCACCGAGGTTCTGCATCTCCAAATAACCCTCTCAGAGCTAGACATCAGTGGCGGATCTAGGATTTTATCAAAGGGTATACCGCAAAAAAAAAAAAAAAATCTCATGCAATTCGGTAAATTCATTTACAATTCCCTAAAACCACATTCTAATTTAGTAAAACCACATACGTTAAATAGTATGGAAAGCCTTAATTCAAATATTAAGCTAGAAACGACGATAAAATCATGGTTCAAGCTTTCGGTTAGAATAGAAAACTCAAAAGTCACGGGATAAGAATTTAGGAGTGTTCTTGGACTAGGACTGATATTGGTCTGTTCAATGAACTAATGAACCGAAATTAAAAAAAAAACACTCATACATAAATAAAAATAAATATTTAAGTATACAATTTTTTTTAGAAATACATGAAGAAGAATAGAAGGTTAATGTTAACCTGTCTGGCTCTCGGAGGCCGTCGGGCGGAGCGTATCTCGCCGGCCACGGAGCGGCAGGCCGGCTGGCGGCAGCACTGGCGACTTTGGCGAACGGCCCTGTGCGGATCACCGGATGCGACGACCACGCGCGGAGCCGCGGGCAGTTCAGACTTCCACGTTCAATCGATGCCGTCGTGTCTTGCCCTCGCATGCGCGTGTGTGGGCCCGTGGGAGATCAACTATCAAGGCGCGCGCGGCCGCGGAGTTACAGCGCGTACCAGGAACCAGATAACTTTCTTCTTTTTTTTTACACAAAAAAAATCTATATTATGTCTGACTTACAGCTGGACCCTGGGTCCGCCCGACAGAATGTAACTGTTGAATGTTAAGACATTCATTAATTTTCCTTATAAGTAGTGTTAAAAGTTCATCCTGACATAAAAAAAGAGCATCAGCAAAGATTGTGACACGAAGAAAAAATAGACCAGCAGCGAAGCAGAGAGGGAAAAGAGCACGTCATTGTTGTTTAAAAAATGTTTTCACTCTAATATTACATCATGTGCAAATGGCATCATAAGTAGCAATGAGACATCAGAAATGAAAATCAGTAATAACCCATAACATTGCTTTGGAAACTCCATTTGTAAAGGTGAAGCATAGGTGTGGAAATCATGTATACTGGATTAATCACATGGTAGGATCTAAAATTTGCATCAGCCAAATCACTGACCGCACCAAACTTTGATACTAATATTTTTCAGAGTTCTTGGAAATGCACAATGGTCTTGAATAAGTGGAGTACATGTAACATAATTGGATATTATTTGTTATAACGGAACCTTTGGCACCTTTTATTTCATGATTGCACAAAGTTAAATTCAGTAGCTGAATCTCAGTTCAGCTGTTCAAACCAATGGTCTATCGGTACTACAGATAGCATGGAACTGAATTAACATGCAAAACATGGCATCCTAGCCCTGAGCAACAATTGTGCATCGGTATTTCGCGGTATACCGTGGAGAGGGCCAGCACAATTCATGCCATCTTTTAATGTGTTGAACGTTGACTTTTTTTTGCTGTAACTTGTAGCAGTAATCTGTAAGCTGAGAAGCCCTGCTCCTTGACTCTGGCACAACTTACCTCAGAACTCTGATCTATGACATGGAAAAAAGTAGATATTTTATAACATATCAAACCTAAAACACGGAATCATTTTTCTCTGCTTGTATAAGTGGTCTCCCTGTAGTGAATTCTGAATTGTTTTCTTATTTTGTATTACAAATTTAAACTCAAACAAATGTTAGTAAACTCAAACAAATTGTTTTCACGGCTGTGTAGGCAGCATGCTATTTTTTCCCCTCTCTTTTTTCTGGTTTGGCATTCCATCGAGCGACCGAAAGGCAGAAGACATCAAGGCAAAAGAGAACAGGGATTGAAGGCCTTACCGTGTATGGGGACGAGGAAGAACGCGATCCCAGCACCGTCGGAGCGGAAGGAGGGCAACTCCGGTGTACCGTGGCAGGCAGCCGTTACGGAGGTGGAGATGGCCGAAGAGGGCGTATGTAGAGGTGGATCTGGCGCAAGTGCTGTCCCTCTGGCTGGTGCGGGCGTGAAGCCGGTGGAGAAGGGTGGCGGCGGTGGACCCCTGCCGTGTGAGGCTTCCGGCTAGGGCTACATCCTTTCGTTTGTGGCCCTTAGCGGCTGCCAGACAGGCAGGCGTGTCGGCAGCTGTTGGCAGTAGCCGGCGGCACCCATCACCTCCTCAGGATGCGGGGTGGGGGGCGGCGCTGGTAGGGGCGGGGCGGCGCCACTACACTGTCGGTTCAAAACACCCCATCACTATTGGATTTTGAACCGAAATAACCATACCGGCAGTGATGAGGGTTAGCTATCACTGTCGGTTCCTATAAACCGGCAGTGTTCTTCAACTTCACTACCGGTCCTTTACACAACCTGGCAGAGTTCAGTTCCACCAACACTGCCGGTTCATGAGACCACCCGGTAATGTAACCTTGAACATCACTATCGGTTTGTGTTTTTAGCCGGCAGTGTTGTCGTAACCAGCACTGCCAGTTTGTGACAAGACCCGGCAGTGATGGCTAAGCCAACGCTGCCGATTTGTAGCTCAAGCCAGCAGTGTCATCTTGGCCATCACTGCCGGTTTGTTGCTAACTGACAGTGATGGCCCGTTCGTATTTTATTGTTTTATAATTGATTTTAATTTATATTTTTTGTGGAATCGGATTTCGCTTTATATATGCAACGTAGACGACAGCTCCATCAATATTAAACATTACAAATGTTACGGTTACAGTTCAAATATTCTTATCAAGATCTCAATCCCTCAAAATAAAAAAGAAATTATTCGATAAGATGAAGCATGCTTCTCAGACTTCTTACAATAATCTAGCGAGCCGCTCTAGGCTATACTGGTCCTTGAACTTCACGGATTGTGCAATGGAAAATACTTCATCTTTTTCCAATACCTTGGCTAAGATGAATTTTGCCAACTCCGATTGAAGTGCGACGATCTCCATGTCTAACAACCTTTCGTAGTTATATTTCTTGTGCTGTCGTTCAAAAAAGATGATATCCAAAGAGTAATCAGAAAATCATTTTGTTGAATTATTAACAGACATAAATGAAATGGGGATTATACACACCAACTTATCTGCTTCTTCCGATTTCCAGCCGATGTAGCAAAGCATTGCCCACCTTACATAAAACCCGCATTCATTGTTTCCCGCCGGCTGTTTTACGTACTTCCCCTCTATTTCGATAACCTTGAATGGGACCTGCGTCCCACCGATATGTCTTCTTCGGACACTGTGCAACATTAAAAGGAGAAACATTAGAAAGTGGTATGTGTGATTAGAAAATAATATGTTATTAGGATCGCTTACTAATTCAGCACTGCTACCGGTGCATCCAGATGATGAAATGGTTTTTTCGTCGAGTCCCACACCTCGATCAGATTTTTAGCAAGATTGACACAAATGAAGACGAAATGGTTGCTGCAATCACATAATCCTAATTATCGAATAATCTTAACGAAAAAATAAGCATAATATTAAAAGCCGAGAACACATACTCGTAGTTGTAGGCAAGAAATATGTGG